ACAATTATATACTCTTATGTATTTCTATTGTTTAACTTTTGCTTAACAAAGCACGGGTCCCCGTCACCATGCCTCGCTCCATTATCTGCACCCTGCATTCTCTTTGACTTTCTCTCCTCTCCCCTTCCCACCACTCGGGGTGTTCATGGTTCAGTTGATCAAACCGTGGAGTTTTATTTAGGACTGAACTGGTCCTATCGGTTTTTGGAAAATTGGTAATCGTAACCAAACCGAAACCAGTCGGTTAACCGGTTGACCGGTTTGGTTAATCGTTGGTTCGATTCGTCGGTTTTTTGGTTTTTCAATTTTTATAATATATATATATATAATAAAAAATTTATAAATAAATATATTATCTTTTAATTAATAAATAATATATCATATATTATATATATAATGCATATTTATTAATTTATAATATATAAAAAATATAAATATATATATATATAATATACATAAATATATAAAATATATAGAATATATGTATACCGGTCGGTTCGGCTAACCACTAGTTTTTTATATTGGTTAATCGAAACCAAATCGGTACCTTTGGTTTTTTAAAAATACTGAACCAAAATCGAACCGATTGGTTCGGTTAACCGATTTTTTGGTTAAGTTTCGGTCAGTTCTTTTGTTGGTTCGGTTTTTCAGTTTTTTTTTTTTGCTCACCCCTACCCACCACTCCCATTAAGCCATGTCACCCAACTACCTAAAAATATTCCTATAATCTCTCTCCTAAGGTATCTCATTTAAACCAATAGGAAAGTATCATGTTGCCAAACTCCTTAATCAATTCCTAAAATGCATCCCCCCAATCTATATCCACTCTCCCTCATTTAAAATATTAATATTAATTAATAATTATTTAAATATGGTTAATATTTAATCCCACCCAGATTCAATGAGTATTATATAGTGTTATTACCAAAAGTTAATAAATACAGTTAATAAATTACCAAAAATTAAATATTCTTATTAGTACGGTTAGTAAATTACCAAAAATTAATAAATATTGTTATTAATTAGCTCATTAACAACATTTTATAGAAATTGAAAACTCTTTAACTAATTTCTATAAGATTGAGAATTATATTTAACAATTATCAAAATGTATAAAATTTTAGTTATTGTTATTATTATAATTAATAACCAAATACAAATGGGGGAACAAAATATTATAATGTTAGAAAATGAAATTATTAATTAATTTATATTGAAAAATAAAAGATAAATTAACGTTATTTTGTTAGTAAATTATTAAATAAAAAATATATTTAAAAGTAATTTAAAAAAAAATTCAATAAATCCCCATAGTTACACAAATGTAATAAAATTTTCATAAAACTACATTTTCATAAAATAACATTTTTGAAATTAAAAGATATAAAGTATTTGAAAGTTTATTTAAAATGCGTTAAATAATTATTGAAAATTATTAGAATAGTTTGGAAATTTTAGGAAAATTTATTACATTTGATAGATTTTGGAAAATCATTGAAAAATTTTGTAATTTGCATTGCAAATTATTGAAGATTATTAAAGAATAATGACCATGTGAAATGGAAAACTATAATTTGAACAAATAATTAAGATAAATTAGTATAATATTGGAAAAAGGAAATTATTGGTTAGTTTATATTAAAAATTATAAGATAAATTAGTATAACTCTGTAAGTAAACCATTTAAAAAGAAAATAAATTATTTAATAAAAATTTAAATAAATTTGAATAAATTTTCAAAATTACACAAGTACAATACATTTTCCAAAATTTTCATAAAATTACCTTTTTGAATATTAAAGACAATTTAGTGTACTTTTAGAAATTTACTATGTTGTTCATACTCAATATATCATTTTGATCATTTCAATCAGGGTTGACAGGGACAATGTTTTCAAAACTGAATCAAACTAGATGGTTAAACCGGAAAAATTGGGAACCGGACACCGTTTCACCTCAAAATCACTTTTTGTCCAAAGACTGTTTATTTGGTTAGCAAACCGCAGACCTGGGCGGTCAAATTGTCAACCCGGACAACAGCTTTTGGCCTTTTTTTGTTTTTCTATTTTTTTTTGTGAGAGCGTGTCATCCATTCGGATTGAACAGTCAGACTGTTCGACCCCAAAACAATTCCATATCCGGTCCAATTTTAAAAACCTTGGATGGGGAGTGTGTGCCTTGCCTTGAACTTGGCTTGGTGTACGGCATGGCCTGGCCCAAGGCTCAGTCCATGGACCAACCTGACCGGCGGTACGCCCCGTGAGCCATGCCAAACCGACCCCCAAATTATCCTAAAGGAGGGAGGCATAGCCCGGGACGCCTTGTGGGCCAGCATGGCACGACTCGCACTTTGTGCGGGCCACATGCGGGTCATGTCGTGTCGACCCAGCATGACCCAATTTACTCCTCTACTTGAACCTGCCCAACATTGGGGACGGGACAGGGAAATTCGAGGATTCTTCGTCCTTGATAAGAAGTGGGGTGTCTTGCCCCTAAACTTGCCCGACATTGATGAGTGGTTACCTTGCCCTGAACCCGCGTGATACTAGGGACGGGACGGGAATGGGGTACCCTGCCCTGAACCCACCCAGTTGTCATTCTTATATAATTGTTAATTATTATTGAAATTAATAAAAATATTATCTTTTATAATTATTTTTATATATTTAAATTAATCAAAATTTCAATTAAAAATAATAAAAAGTAAAAATTATTAAAATGAAAAATAAATTTATTAAATCTTTCAAAATTTCCCATACATCACGCGTGTCTCTTCTAGTATTTATAAGAAAACTCAGGCGAGTTTAAGTCTTTTACCCATCAATAATTGGTCACTTCCACATTAGTTTAGAGCTGAAAGGAACCTTGTGTGTCAAATAGGGTTACAATAGGTCAAATTTGATACAAATCAATTATTCCAAGTTTCAAGGCTTGTTCAACCTGACGGGCTCGGTCTCTTGGGCCTCAACGAAGAAAAACTGTGCCCCTTTTTAATACATGAAAGCTTTCTTTATCTTCCACTAGAAATGAGAAAAAACAGAGTGGGTTTATTAGGTCATGCCAGACTTGAGGCTGGACCATGGGAGATCGCATTCTATGCACCCGTGGGTGCACTGGACGAGTGCATCCGTGAATGGGTGATCAACATGTGTTAACCACGAATTAATGGAAGTTTTCTCCATTAACTGGTTGAACCGGCTATTGTTGACTCTTCTCCACCGAATGTACTTGGCAACGACGAGCGGAAGTTGTTTGGAAACCGATAGGTCGACCACCTGGGTCTAAGAACAAACCCAAGCCACCAATCGTTATTACCAGAGACAACGACTGCACCATGTTTGGAGGGATTTTTGTAGGAGGTCACCGTTTCACAATCTTCCTCTGTTTACTATCTCTCTTGCAGGAGGTCACAGGTAGGTATTTGGAGGGACTGTTGCAGGGTCACTCGTCGTTGGGAGCACCATAGTTCTAGTTACAGCATCTTTTATTAACCCTACTTTCCATTGTCTTCCTGGTGAAGATGAAGAAAGCGAGGACGTTAAAGCTGGTAAAATGATGGGTGGAAGCGATTCTTGCACGAGTAGAATGTCCATGTCGGTTTACAGTGTTGCAGTTCTGAGCCCTTTGAATTGCCAGATCCCTCCTAAAGTCTTGCCGTGGCCTCCCATCTCACGTCCTCCATACTGAGAACTGTGAATACCAGAAAGGAAAACAACAGAAAAAGAGAGGAATGAAAGGTGGTTGCAACCCTGTTCGTCCTTTAGATCAGACTTACCACTGGAGAAGACAAAGAAGAAGAATAATGGAGAGTCATTTTAGAAGAGAAGAAGGATACATCGCCACTGCCGGAGCTCTGTCGCCATCGAATCGCCGTCGGTTCGCCGCCAGAGCTCTATAGCTGCCGGTGGACAAGGGTTACTCTGTTGTATGGGTAGGGTTCGGTGGAGAGAAATGGAAGAAAGAACTGAAAGGAGAAGAATCAAAAGAAAAAGGGGATTTTTTATGGGTACTTGACTGGTTCGTGTTCTCGCGAACCAATTCATTTTTGCATGAACCGGACCAGACCATGTTAATGCTCAAACGCACATTAACGCTGGCCTGGTCGACGTGTCGATCACCCATGCACGGGTTTACTCGTCCGGTGCACCCACGGGTGCACAGAATGCGAGCTCGGACTATGGATACGTCTGTGCTAACTGCTAAGACAGTGAGGATCTGACTTATGAATTTTGTCACGTGTTAGATTTGACAAATAATACTTAAAATATTGATCTAAATAAAGGAGGAATTTATGATGAATATGTGATTAATGATTTAGATGAATACCATTTGGTTGGAAGAGCTTTAACGAATCAAAGCATTTCATGAATTTGGTGATGATTCTTCACCTCTTCTATGATACTAGTTGATTATAAGGGTTGTTTGATTCATAGTCGAAATCAAAATTAAAATATTCGAGAATCAGAATTATAATAAGAATGGTTTACTCCTATACTATGTTTGATTCAAATATGAATGAGAATAGGAATTGAAATTAATAGGAATGAGATTTTATTCTCAAAGGAAAAATAGGGAATGACCATTTTTTCAAATAGAGAAATGCTATTTCAGAAGAGATGAAAATGAGATTTTGATTCCACTCAACCAAAAATTCTGATTCCGATTCCAAACTATCAAACGGGATCTAAGTGTTTCGATATCATGTCTTTTCAATGTTATAGTTGAACCCATAAAAAAACAAATAATACTAAATATGCGGAGCAATAAAAATCAACTCTTCGTTCATAGACTCACCATGGTAACCTTTCTTTTGCTTTTATTCAAGTGAATTACAACTTATGAATCAAAAAGAAGTGAATTACAACTTAATATTCACCATTGAAGTGTTACATACGCGCGCACATAATACCCTTATTACTTAGACATAATGGACCTTTATTCATTACACACAACACGCAGGAGAAAGAGGGGGATGGGGGAGGAGGGGTCCTACTTTCTATCTACGTGCTATGGCCAACTCCACCACCGTATCCGGATCCAGAACCTGAACCATAGCCAGAGCCAGAGCCACTGCCTGAACCGCCACCACCGCCTCCACCACCACCACCGCCACCTCCACCTCCACCACCACTGGCATAGCCTCCACCATTGGCACCTCCTGCTCCATATCCTGAGCCACTACCAGAACCGTATCCGGAGCCACTCCCATGTCCATTGCCTGATCCACCTCCACCTCCACCTCCACCTCCACTTCCACCTCCACCTCCTCCACCACTTGCATAAGAACCTCCACCTACGGCTCCTCCAGCACCATACCCTGAACCACTCCCACCCCCGGAACCATAACCGCTGCCATTTCCAGACCCTCCACCACCTCCACCTCCGCCTCCACCTCCACCTCCGCCACCTCCACCACTTGCATATCCTTTCCCTTTTGCCCCACTATAACCAATGCCTTCGCCGGAACCATATCCCTCCCCGTAACCCGAGCCATATCCAGACCCAGTTCCTTTACCTCCACCACCACCACCTCCCTCACCACTACCTCCCCCTCCTCCTCCACCAACGGCAAGCAGGGACCTAGCAGCCGAGGAGAGCCCAACGCAAAGTAAAACAAAAAATGCAACAGAAACCAACTTCGAGTTCACCATTTTCTCACTCAATCAATGAATTAATGTTTGATCGATTTGAGATTGCAGTATGGTAAGTCCAGTGCAAACACAACCTATTTATAGCGATCCTTAGTAAATTTAACGTGGACTACTGCACATAGACCGAGTAAATCATTGTTTATGCTTGGAGGTGAATCTCCCATTCTCCATGCATTTTGACCTAACTTACACATTCAGCAGTGGAAAAATTTTCGCTCTTTTTGACCTATGCAGCCAAACAAGTCGCCACTTGCTACTCGTTAAGAAGGGAAGTCATCAAATCATAGTGCCTAGTGGAATGTGGATGGGACTCGCCTGACATTAAATTATTATTGTTGATTTTTGACCTAGCTAACTTCTTTTTCCTTCTGCTTTTTGGCTAATGTGTGTTGAGTTGCTTCTCAGCCCGGGTCTAAATCGGGCCTGACTCATTGACACATCAAGTCCATCACCCCATCAGCTCCTTTTTGACTTTCTCGGCCAAAAGTCCATTACTCCTTTTCATATATAATCCCTACTTTTAAATTTAAGATTATTTACTAAAAGACCACTTATAGTTCCATTAATTTATCAAAATCTACTTGTGTTTTACTAAATCACCCCTTACGGTGGAAAGTGACAGTTTTTATCTTAGCATCCATTTGAATAAATTTACTCAAAAGAAAATAAAAATGAAAATGCTAATTTTGCCCTAACACATGCAATTATTCTATTTTTTTTTCTATTTGGTCAATTTTGTTTTTTGTACCAATAAATGTTAAGGATAATTTTAGGATAATCAATCATAGGCCCAACCTTTGAATATTTCCCGTTCAATTTAAATGATCATGTTATTATTTTCAAATAGCAAAATAAACAATTCTTAGTGAAAAGTTGGTTAAGTAAATAGGTTGCAAACTTTAGGATTGTTTTAGTATAATGAAAAATACACGGTAGGTTTAAGTAATTCCATAAAACTATAGAAACATTCTAGTAGAAGTATTTTTGTTTCAATTTCTAGACAAGCCAATTTGATATTTGAATTTTATTGGTTATCTGTGCAGGAATGTATATTATTTGGCCTTTTTAATTGAGTAAAGCTTGATGAGGGCGGATTTGGCCCTCCAATGACATTGTGACACATGGCATCCCGAAACAGTTGAACGACACCTAGGCGATGATTTGAAGTTCCAGATCGTAGTTTGTCGTCGCCCCGATTTGGTGACCTGCCTTTACCGCCAACCTAGCGTCTTTGACCACAACTTAGGTCGTCTAGGAACACCTTGTCTAGGGCTGACTTGTAGCACCTCGTCACTGGTCGATGTGACATCGACACGAGGAGCGACCTCCCTCGAGGGCTTGCCGACCTGACTGAAAATTCGGTATGCATATCCTAGGACTCCCAAGTTTCTCGGAAGTTGGCCTACGTATCGAGTGTTCCAGAGGATGGCCAACGTGCATAACGGTTAACTCCGGGGATCTCAGATCGGTTAGGGGACCTCTCGGAAATCTCGGATGCAGTGCATGAACCCCACGCCAAACAAAGCCTATATAAAGGCACCAACCCCAATGACATGAAAAGGTACGTGCGATTTAGTGCATTCTAACTCTCCTTATTCTCAAACTCTCAGCTCATATATACTATTACTGACTTAAGCATTGGAGTGACCTCACTGGGTTAGCCACCCCGGGTCTCTGATACATCCCTTTCTTTGCAATTCGAGCGGCCTACTTGGCAATAGGTGTCCAAACTGCCTTACAACTAGGAGCATTCAGATCGCGCACCATCAAAGTCCAATAGAAATTGAACAGTTTGGTTTGAGAATTTTTTAGATTAAAATTTACTGGATGTCTAAAGTCTTCTCTGAACTGAATCAAACCAAACAGTGACCACCCCTCAGGTCAAATACCACTTGGACAGCACTAACAAGATTGTGCATACCATAGCAATAAAGATGCTATATCCTTATATAGTTCTCATATGTGGTTAGTGATGCCTGATTTTCTTTTTTTTATTTGTGTAAGGCACATTCCAGTGGGCAGGTAACCAACATAAAAGCTAAAATGCAAAATTTAAGGCTGAGTTTGGAAGGAGTAAAAATGCAAATATATAAAGTATAAAACTTTATATTTTGTATTATTTTGTATGTATTTACGGTGTGCATTTGTACTCTTTACAAACTGAGTCTAAGAGACAGACTTTAACTGGCATGCTCCATGGTTATAGCCAACCTCCTCATCTATTTGAATAATTTTACTTTCACAAACATGGTTCAGGGTTCCTCTACGTAGCCGTGGACTCTTTGGTATGATTTTATAGCCATCATGAATTTGTTAATGCAGGTGAACTTTACTATTATCCACCGCTAACGAGAAGCAAATTCAGTGGTCGATTCTCTTGCTAATGAGGGGTGTGACACAGCTCGTGATATTGCGTATTTCTCTCGCTACAGTTTATCCCTGAGGCTCTAACAGCATTCCGAATTGATTGTCTGGGCCTTCCCTATCTCTGGAGTATTTAGTTTTGTGTTCTATGGATGGATTTATGAGCGAATACCTGTATGAATTTTTAAAGGGGTAAGGCTTTTATGTCTCCCACCCCTCATAGGATATTTTTTGTATATATTAATAAAATTTAACAGTGGCCACCCCTCCACTGGGATGTTTGTGGTTAATAGAAAGGCATCTTTTTACTGAGTTAAGTGTTGAATGCAATTGCTTATGGATTTATTTCAAAAAAATCAAACAAAGACGTTTAAGACTTTAAGTCCTTAACACATTTATGAATAGGGTGGCAAATGGGTGGGTGGGTTGGGTTGAGTGTGGGTTAAGTACCAACCCACCCATATTGATGTGCTAACACATTTGCCACCCATTAGGGGTGAGTAAATGGGTAGGTCTGATCTGGGACCGAATGAAATCAACCTTGAATCAGCCTTGAATTAATTCTATCTGATCTGTTATAGGGTAGGGTTTGGTTCCAAATTCTTGGAACCAACCCTTACCTAGGCCGATTCTAGGGTCTAAGAGTTTACCCAACCCAAACCGACCTGATGAACTGGCCTTGGTGGAACCTCTCTTAGAATTGAACTCGCCTTGAAATAAACCCTAAAATACTTTTGGGGATGTGAAGATTTGAAACCAAACACATAGTGACAAAGGCCATGATCTCACTTGACCATTGAGCTACTTTTAAGTGATTTGATCATTTGCTTTTATGTTAATATTTGAATACATATAATAAGTAATCTAGAAGGTCATATTTACAAAATTTAAATTTAAATTATAAGTTTTGAACCATATAATGATAGTTTACATATTAACTTACTCAACTTAATCAATAATGATAATATAAGTTTTAAACTATATATAATATATATATATATCACTTTTATTGAAAGTCAAGTTTTTAAAGAGCATGTTTTTTTTCAAGGGGGAGAGTAAACAAAGAACAGGTTCCACAAGTAGACCTTGGAACTGACCCCAAAACCACCAACCAGTTCTAAAAACCTGGAACCGATCCCTATAGGGTAGATTCCAGGTTCTGCCATGGAACCAAACCGAACCAACCCTTTCTTACCCTTACCACCCATGGTAGTGGATCAAAGTGTTGTGGGTCCTAATCCACCCTAACCCATCCATTTGACCATCTAATTCAACTTAGTTTTTGTTTTTTTCTCTATTCTAATTGCATAAAAACACAAAACAAAGTATTTAAACTAAAAGAACATAAAAATTTTCAATTTTTAAATAAAAATAAAAGAGCATAAAACACAATGGTAAAAAAGGTATATTTCATGTAAAATGCCAGAAATTGCAAATTTAAAAAAACAGAAAATATAAAAATTTGTACAAAATTATAGAAAAATGTAAAACACACACATTTCAACTAAAAAGACAATGAAACAGATAAAAGGTTCAAAAAATATTTTCAAATATAAAATACATGAAAATCTTGGAAAAATACAAATATTCGGTAAAGAGCAGAAATTGCAAAAGTACATAAAATGATAAAAATTCAAAAAAATTATATATTATAGCAAAAAAGCAGAAAATGCAATAAAAGGAAATTGATAAAATTTTCAAAAAAAATTGGATAAAATTAAAAACTACAAAAAATACATACATACATATATAAAACAAAAAATCACAGAAATTTTGGAAAAAGAAATTATAACATTTTTAAAAGTATATATTTTAGAAAACTAAAAAATTGCAGACAAACTAATAACATGATAAAATTAAAAAAAAAAATCAAACATTGCATCAAACAATCAGATAAAAATTTACAAAAATATTTTTGCATAAATTGTAAAACCGTCATGGGGATGTAAAATATACATTTCATATTCAAATTACAAGAACTTACAAAACATTGCAAATATTTCAAAGTCACTTAAATTTCTAATCGTAGTCTTTATTCATTCAAATCTTCAAACCGAAGATCTGAATAAGAGAGAGTGGTGGTGCGGTAGCCATATTCAAATTGGATATTTGAGCAATAGGGAAAGAGGGTGGTGGTGGTGGTGGTGCGGCACCAACTTCAAGATTTGTGTGAGAGAGGGGTGATGCGGTGTTGACCTTCCATGGATCTAAGTGAAAGAAGAGAGTCGGTGCACATCCCACCTTTCCTAGCAAGGTTTTGAAGATCGACCCAAAACAAAATCGATTGGGAGATTATTTTCTAGTTTGACGGTTCAATTGTTCGGGTCAAATGATTAACTTGTGGCATCATAAACTAATTAAAAATAAAATAATATTTATATATAATAAAAACAGCATAAAATTAAACAAAATACAGAAAAACCCATATATAGAAAAAAATAAAACTATCTAAATATAAAAATAATAAAATACAGAATACATAGAAAATACAAAAAAATATAAAAAAAATCTAAATAATAAAAAAATCACAAAAAATTTAAAAAATATAAAAATTAAGATGTATTTAATCATACTTAATTACTTATATATGTGCAGAAAATACAAAAAAGTCCAAAAAGTACAGAAAAAAACATAGA